GATGAAAAGTATAGGAATTGGTTTCTGCCCCCCATGGGTTTACAATCTGCTTGGGCAGGTAAGATTCAAACAGGACCAAAGCTACCCCCAAAAGACAAGGCAGTCAGTAAACGTCGGGAGAGCAAGTTCAGCAAAAAATTTACCCTCAAAGATAGAGCTAAATGGTCTTTGAAAAAATGTACAGTTTTGGATGGAAATTAACACAGCTTTAGTGGAAGCTGATGGATTACAAACACCATGACTCAACTAAAGCAAAACGAGGACTTCCGTTAGTCGGTAATCCACTCGACCACCTGAATGTTGAAACAAATTCAGTTCTAACCAGAGTTAAATGAGCAATTAGGGAAATGGGACTCTAGCACTTGAAGTTAAAGTTCCACTAACTCAAAAGTGTGGAAATGTTGGCTAAAAGGTCCTCGGTCTGGCTAAGAATTGAATTTTCATGTGGTCACAGTCATAATTCTGGGCTGTCAAAGTACTCCCATGGGGTCCATTCACCAGTAGCTGGTCATGGTGAATTTCTACCAAACTTCTTTAAATGAAGAGATTAGACTTGCTATCCCTACTTTCTCCCCCCCTCCCCCCTCCCCCTAGAAATCTGTCCTTTTACCCCACCCCTCTTGATCATTATCAATGGCCTCCTGGTCATTTCTGTGTCCCTAAGGTCTAGCAGAGTGCCTGGTAGAGTCTGGAAATGTCTGCTGAGATGAATCAATGACTCAACTCAATGGCTTTTTATCTAAGTTCTGTTCCATTTGGCCTCGCTGGGGCATGACACTAATATTGACCTGGCCTAGAAATTCTCTTTCCCATCATATTCCATGACGTCTGGTTCTCTCGCCCACCTCTCCCCAACTCCTCCATCCCCACCTTAGGCGGTTCCTTCATGGATATTCTTCCTGCCTCACATCTCCCTCCTGCTTCCCGCATGTGGCTGCAGCCCAAGGCTCAGGCTTCACTGTCTCCTAAGGCCACACTTCATGGCATCCAGGAGATGATGATGATAATAATATGTGTTACAATAATAACAACAGTAATAACAACAATTGTCTAATGTGTATTGGGAACTTTACTCGTTATCTTATTATTATTTTTTGTGTGTGTGGTACGTGGGCCTCTCACCGCTGTGGCCTCTCCCGCTGCGGAGCACAGGCTCTGGACGCGCAGGCTTAGCGGCCATGGCTCACGGGTCCAGCCGCTCCGCGGCACGTGGGATCCTCCCGGACCGGGGCACGAACCCGTGTCCCCTGCATCGGCAGGCGGACTCTCAACCACTGCGCCACCAGGGAAGCCCCACTCGTTATCTTATTTAATCCCACAAACTCTATGATGTAGGTATTTTTACTCTATGTTATAGATGAGAAAACCAAGGCTCAGAAATAAAATAACACATGACTAGCAAGTAGCAGAACTGGGATTTGAGCCCAGGTCTCGCTGTATTGAAGGTCCAAAACAAACACATAAGTGAACACTGGAAATGGAAATTAAAATCCAGAAGGGAATGGACGGCGCTGCCTCCTGCCTGCACCACTGGTTCTACCCTCTCCCTGCGGCGTTAGCGCTGCCTCTGCTCCCTCTCGACGTGTCCTTGTAGGTGTCCCATCTCAGCTTCAAACCCACTGTGTCTACAACTCCTCATTATCTTTTCTAAAAATCCCATCCCTCTTTCATCACTGTTGCCATCACTCTCAGAGTCATGGAGGCTCAAACCCAGCAGTCGATTGTGACTTTTCCTCTCCCTCTTTATTCAGCGCACCTCCTCTCATTCCTCACCCCTTCCTTCTCTCTTCATTTCTATGCTCGCTACTCAAGTCTGGCTCTTGTCACCCCTCACCAGAGGGCTTCCATAGTCTCCTAACTGGTCTTTGCAGCCCTCCCTATCTTCCCCCTGGAATCCATCCTGCCCTCTACCACGAGATTAAGGCTTTGCCTTTATCAGTCCCACTTAAAAACCCTTTAGCGTCTCTTTTTCAGAGATAAAGTCCAGACCCTTCAGCCTGGTTTTCAAAGCCCTGTGTACTCTGGTTCCACCTGCTGTCTTCAACCTCACCTCCTACTTCTCACCTGCAGGAATTCTCTGCTTCAACAGAGGCAGTCTCCTCAACTGCTGAACTCAGGTTGGCCTTAACTAGGGTGAGCCTATACTTTCGCGTTCAGACTGGAGCCCCCCTGAAAGAGAAAGGGAGTGTTCTTGAGAAGTGAGCCAACAGCCGTAACCTGGTGTATCTGTGGGGAGGAAGGTGATCTCCGCGTCTTACCCTTCCGCCATCTTCCTCCCGATCTCCAACAGCCATAAACTGGGACCCTCCTGGATTAACTGGGATCACGGTTCCCCACATTCATACCATTCTCTGCCCATCTACATACAGGCCACTCAGACCAGGGGCTAATGGAATGCTTCCAGGGTCCCTAACAGTCTCTGTTTCTCCTCTAAGTTTCTTGCTCTAAGTCTGATACCTGGAGTCTCCATCTTGACAAGTCCCTTCGGACTGATGTCTTCAGGTTAGGCTGCCGGTTTAGCTTTCAATTTGGTGGCTGGTCACTGTGACCGTCTCTCCCGATCCACCGGCTCTCTACCTGGCCCTCCCAGCCCGGTCTCAGTCCGTACCTCTACACTGTCACTGCCCTCATGTCTCCCCTTGCCTTAGACATCTGTCCCATTGCTACCCTTCCTTCCTCACCCAGATGTTCCCCCACACTAGCCATGATGAGTCTGCCCCTCTTCTCTGACCTCCTGTGGCCTCTATTACCTCCATCATTTGCTTTGCACTCAGCACAGCCCCATCGAGCAGCAGCTGACATTTTGGAAGTTTGTTCGGTCTCCCTAACCAAAGCAACTGGCCACAAAGGTCCAGGGCCACTTAATCATCTGACTCCCAGCCTCTAACAGGTCAGGCATTTGGTGGAAGAGGATGAGAATAAGAACATCTGATGCATCAGGCCGGGGTCACGCACAGTCTCTCCCAGTTTCCCATCCTTCAGCTTGAAGCCCTGCTCTAAGGAAGGCAGACATTCTTACACACTGACAGCGGCAGCAAAAGCAACACGCATCTCTAATAAACACGGCCCACGCCAGCTCCCCGGCAACCGCGGCGTTTCTCCTCATGCTTGTTGCTCTTCGGTAAATGTCAAACTCCAGAAGTTTCAGCAAAACCCTTAGAGACTCAAAGGCTGGCTACTACAGAGGACCGTTAGGCAATTATTTGGCAACACCCAGAGACCTGGGCTCCCCACTGCCTTCCAGTTTCCCGAGGGCCAAGGCTGGTCTCCTGCCCCAGCCACGGCCCCTAATGCCCCTGGCCCCGCCAGCTCCCCGTCACTCACACAAGCTCTGGGCCCTCCCTGTTCCTTCTCTCACCCTAATTCACCAGACACCCTCAACCTGTATCCTGTAGCTCAGCCACTGGCCTGACTTCCAACTGATTTCCTTCTGACACAACAGCACCCAAAGTTTCTCCCCATTTAACAACTGGTAAGGGAAAAATATATATGTAAAACAAAATAGAGAGTATGACCTCATTTTGGTAAACATTAACAAAATGTTTAGAAGTAGATATTTATGTGGGGAAAGGTCTGGCAGAAAATACAACAAGCTATTAATAGTGCTTTTCTCATCTGTTTTAAGTTCCTCAATGAAAACAGATTACTTGCATAATAAAAAGTAATGAAGAAAAAAAAAAAGCTGGTGTTTCCGCATTGGCTTCTTTTTTGCCAGTGTTAATGGATGTGGTACCCTGCTACCTATCACGGTCACGACCCACAGAATAAGGGGGAAAAAACAACGCAGGCTTAGGAGACCGATTCCATTTGTGGACATCTGATGAGGGCCATTTTAATCTCCATCAGTGTGTAAAAACAAACAAACAAACCCATTTTATTCTCATCATCACCTGCAAAGAACAGGCCCCACCTGCACTTTTGTTTTGTTGCTTTTTCCTTTCCCATCCTCAGCTAAGAATCACAGTGTGCTGGAAAGCGTAAGTTCTATGTGCAAAAAAATCATCATTGACTGTTTGTGGGAAGCAAAACAGAACAGGTCCTCTGAAAACAACAGAATGTGGAACAGGACATGTAGGATTCAGAGTTAGAAAATGAAGGTTCCAGTTCTGATGTCAGTCAAGTCCTTTTCCTTCCTTTCCTTATGGATGTTCTGCCTCATAAGTATCCAGCTCAGTTTACTGAGCACCTACTATTTGCTAGGCACTGTTTGTTGGTGGAAAGATAAATGAGGCTGTGCAAGTTTAAAGGGCTTTGCAGACAAACTGGGAGGTGCCACATGCATCTTAGGGATTCAATGGTCTGCCCTGCAGGTGCCGATGAAAACCGTTATCCATCACCGAAGAAATTAGATGCCATCCCCCCACCTCTCACTGGCCCTCGCAATGTGGAGTTGCCGCTCAATGGGAAACCGCTCAGCTGATTGTGAGAGCCAGTGCCTGTAGTTCCGAGCACTGCCTTTGAGACTGCTTACCCAGGACCAGCGTTTGAGGCTGCTATTTGTTTTCTCTGACCCTGGTGTCTCACTACACACAGCTGGCCTCTTACACCTGGCGGTCACTGGGGCCTGTCACTGAACTGCAGATCCGTACTTAGAAGGAAGGCTGCCTGCCTCTTCGAGGTGCCACTCAGCCACCTTACCCACCACCAACTGGACCTCATGTATAACACGAGAGCTATACTGAAGTCAGGCCAGCCCAGACATACCTTCCAAACTGAATGAAAATCCGCCCGGTCCTTTCCGAGGGAATCAGTAAGGGACAATTTTGTTTACATAGATTATCATAAATATGCCTTTTGCTGAGGATCCAGAATGAGAAAATGCTAACCTCAGCCACAAACGAAGTCTTTAAAGTTCAAATTCTGACTAACAACTAGACCAGAGAACTTGGATCACTTTGTTGAAACTCAAAGGAGAGCAATTGGATATGTGGGCACCCCCCTCCCTTCTTACTAGCTTCTCTTGTGCTTCCCCATCAAGCACGGCTGGGTGGGATACTCACCCACACACCGTTTCCCGTCCTCGGCCAGGGTGTAGCCACTGTAGCACTGGCAGACAAAGGAGCCCAGCAGGTTCACGCAGAGCTGCTCGCAGCCGTGGTCCTCCGCTGCACACAGGTCCTGGACTGGGGCAAAGCCATACCATTAGAACATGGCTCTCGAGGAGGTGACCCTCGGTGACCCTCGGCCATCAACAAGCAACTCTACAGCACTTGTCAAAATAACCTTTAGGGCTTCCCTGGTGGCGCAGTGGTTAAGAATCCACCTGCCAATGCAGGGGACACGGGTTCGAGCCCTGCTCCGGGAAGATCCCACACGCTGCTAGAGCAACTAAGCCCGTGCGCCACAACTACTGAGCCTGCGCTCTAGAGCCCGTGAGCCACAACTACTGAAGCCCGCGTGCCTAGAGCCCGTCCTCCACAACAAGAGAAGGCAACGCAATGAGAAGCCCGCGCACCACAATGAAGAGGAGGCCCCGCCCATCACAACTAGAGAAAGCCCACGCAGCAACGAAGACCCAACGCAGCCAAAAATCAATAAGTATTAATTTAAAAAAATAACCTTTAAAAACACTGAAAACATTATAAGATCATAGTGGAAAATCTGGGAAACAGAAAAAAATAGAAAAGAAAATTCACCTGTAATCCCCCACCTGCAGTCCTACCATCCAGAGGCCACCGCTGTTAACACTCGGGTGTGTTTCTATGTATATAGAAAAACTCATTTTTCAAAGTTGGAATTATTCATCTCTATTAAATGCATTAAATAATTTAAAATTAACATCAATTTGTGGGACTTCCCTGGTGGTCCAGTGGTTAAGACTCGGTGCTCCCAACACAGGGGACATGGGTTCGATCCCTGTTCAGGGAACTAGATTCCACATGCCGGAACTAAAAGAGCCCCATGCCACAACTAAAGATCCTGCACGAGGCAACGAAGATCCTGCGTGCCGCACCCAAGGCCCAGTGCAGCCAAATAAATTAATTAATTAAAAAACCCCACGAATTTGTATTTTTCCCATCTCAATGAAAGTGTTCTGAAAACATCTGGATGGTTCTTGAGGACTGAAGTTATCACAAGCAGGTATTTGCGCTTGTCTGCATCAAGTACCATTCCTATTCTTTGAGAACTAAAAGGCTTTGTCATCAGAGTCTCACCAAGGTACACACCGATATACACAGTCTCACCAAGGTAATCTGGTGCTGTCTTTGACATTCTGCAGAAGCTGAGAGAAAGCACAGTGAAAAGATCTGCTACTCCACCAAAAACATGGCAGGTCTAGAAGAGCCCCTTATTCCCAAGTCTGCGTTAGTCTCTTTGGACATACTTTTCCTCATTCCATTTCTCTATCAGAAGGACCTTTCAAAATCCTCTTTGTGCTCTACTTATTCATCCCATAAATGAGGAAAATGGGAAGCCAAAGGAGGTTAGGTAGAGGTAACAAAGATTACTAGGGAGAAATGAATGTATGGCTATTAACAATTCTATTTTGGTCAAATATTTATTAGTGCTGGGCCCTGGCTGTTTACTCAAATGCAATGTAAGAACACATTCACAGCAGTGCATTTACTGCCGTGGAACTAAGAAGCTATCAGAGGATGAAACGGTTAAAGGCATTTTCACTCCATCACCGACTCAGTGTCTCCTTTGAAGAAACAGGCTGCCATGATGGCATTACTTCTCAGCAAGGAGAACGGCTTGGTTCCATAACTAGCTCTTTGAGTGACTTTACCATTAAAGTTGGAGAAAATCAAAGAGCATTAAAGGGATTGAATGTATTAAAAATTGTTTTCCTCTGGTTAAAAGTTACCACTATGACAGCTATGGTAAAAACTTAATACATAGAAAGCTGGATTAATCCCTGAAGCCAGTGGCTACGCTTTAATGTAATCTCCTAGGTCTTTGAGTTTTATAGTTTATTATGCTTTTAGATAATTATAACATATCAAATTGATAAAAAAGATAAAAGCTGATATATTCATCACCTCTATCAAATGAGTTAAATTTTTTTTAAAAAATAAAAGCTACATCATAAGATTAAAAAACATTTAGGTCTAAGATTGCACAAAGAAGGATTCTGGTTTTAAAATGCTAAAAGAATTATTTTCATTCCCAAATCCATAAAGTGGATGAAAAAATTATAGACGCAAATTCCTCCCTTACCAGTCTATTTCTGTCTTATATTTCCAACTGGGAACTCCAACTGAGATTTCCCATGGATCCAGATATACGGAAAATAGCAAGAATCAGAAAAAACTTCAGCTCATGCAAAAATCATGGTGAATAATTAAAGAGTGACAAAATTTACCGTTAGTTACAAGCTGAAGCCAGAGACCTAAGAAAAATCTGAATCATCAGATACTTTTCATTTATTCAGTCAATGAAGCACCTAGTTTATCCCAGGCACTGGGGATATAGTGGTGAACCAAACAGATAAAGAGGTTCCTGCCGACACACAGCTGGTACTCTAAGGGTTAGTAATGTGAAGTTCTAGGAAGAGCATTTCTGATAAAAACTCAGAAGTGGAATTTATCCAAAGACAAACAAAAACACTAATTCAAAAAGATATATGCACCCCTATGTTCATTGAAGCATTATTTACAATAGCCAAGATATGGCAGCAACCTAAGTGTCCATCAACAGATGAATGGATAAAGAAGATGTGCTACATATAATCAATGAAATGTTACTCAGCCATAAAAAAAAGAATGAAATTTTGCCATTTGTGACAACATGGATGAACCTTGAGGGTATTATGTTAAGTGAAATAAGTCAGACAGAGAGAGACAGATACCTATGATCTCACTTATATGTGGAATCTAAAAAACAAAACAAGTGAACAAGCATAACAAAACAGAAACAGACTCATGAATACAGAGAACAAACTGGTGGTTGCCAGAGGGGACGGGTTAAGGATATGAATGAAATAGGTAAAGGGGATTAAGAGGTACAAACTTCCAGCTATAAAATAAATAAGTCACAGGGACGTAATGTACACATAGGGAATATAATCAATAATACTGTAACAACTTTGTATGGTGACAGATGGTAACTGGACTTATTGTGATGATTATTTCAAAAAGTATATAATGAAAATGTAAAATACTGAATCACTACATTGTACACCTGAAACTAACACTGGATGTAAAGAGTGTTTCTGACTGAAAGAACAGTGAATGCAAAGGTCCTTAGGTAGAACAAACTAGCCCCATTTGAGGACTGGGAAGCCCACAGTAGCTATCAGATGCATCCTAAATAACTAAAATACAAAACAGAACATGCTAGAAATCCAGAAGAGAGGTGCTGCCAATACAGTGGGAGTTCAGAACGGGGATGGATTACTGCCAGCCAAGGCTGGATCCATCAGAAAAGGCTGGCAGGCAAGAGGGAGAGAATGGAGAAAGGGAAATGGACCCAGGGCTGAGGGAACAGTAAATGTGCAGAAACAGAGGAAAGCAGGACAGGCATGGTAGCTGAATTCCACTCTGGGAATTCCAAGGAAAGTAGCAGGAGGGAGCATCGGAAGGACAATTGACACCAGATGGCAGAGGGCCTGGAATCAGGCTGCGTGGTCTGAACTGTGCTCAGCGGGCAGTGGGGACCACTCAAGGTAAAAGCCTTAAAAAGGGACATGGGCCATTTTACCTGAGCTGTGCTTTGGAAGGATAATTCTGGTTGCATCACAGTTTCTTTTAGCTCTGGGAAATATAAAGGACTTCTAGAACAGATAAATGAAAATCACTGCTTTGGGAACAGCGGTAGTGTTCTGAATTCCAAGCCAAAGTAGCTTGGGTTTGCTTGCACGTTGATGGGAAAATCAACCTCTTGACAGGAGGACCTTCAGTTGATCTTCAGAGCTCTTGGCCCCGCCCATCGGCTGTCAGCGCATGTCCGCGCACCCCTGCACTTCTCCTGGCATGTATCACAATGTTAATCACATAGGTTTATGTAGAGTGATGTATTTACTGTATCTCCCTTGCTAGGCTCCCTAACTGGGAGAAGAGCGT